GCCACATTAGTCGCTCATTGGGCTCGGTGGGTAAGAGTAGTGTTTAGTTGGTTTGGTCGTCATCCGCTTTCGTTTCGACCAACCCCCCTCCCAGCGCACACGCAGCCAGCCACCAGCCCGGCCGGCCGGGTCCAGGTGGCGCCAGTGGACCAGCCTGGCAAAGGCGCAAGGCGGCTGCCAGCCGGCTCCGCGCATCGGCCGCATCGGCCAGCACTTCCTGTGAGCCGAACGGGGGAAAATCAAGTGGTGCACACCGATGTGAGCATTTCAACAAAGTTTGGTCCGTCAAAAATTATTGTATTCAATTCCCTTGATTATCACCTTTATATTTGCAAAATATATATACCTTAAAACACGCATAGACGTCTTAGACCAAACGTAAATACCCCTACGCACTGAATGCGCTAAATTTTAATACCTCTCATGGTGCAATTAAAGTTTCATTTGAAAAGCTTCTTAAAAGTATTAGCATTCAGCGCGACATTCGGCGCCTAGTGCGTTTCAAAACTAACTAACTCTCATACTTCCAATCCATAACATTATGTCATTCCATTTTCATTTGTTGCGTACATTTTATTTATTTTTGAAAAACATGATATCTGCTGGAACTCAATTCAATAACAGTGATTGCACACGGGCGAGAAAACTTGTCGCGGTCTCCATCCTTCGCCTCGCACTTCTGGGAAGCGCTGCCGCTCGCAGCGCAACGCGCACCGCACCCTCGTCTTCAAGCCCCCTCCCTCCCCCTCCCACCCCGCTAAAGCAATCACATCGGAGTATTGTAAAGGACGATCAATCTGTTCACCTTCGCTTATGGTGTCGCCGAGGAGGGGAAAGGAGGTTGGGGAGGGGGGGGGGGGGCACGTGAACTTCCAGGACGACGCGTCTCCGTGACAGTATACTCGGTTACTCGTTCTCTCTCTCTCTCTCTCTCCCTCTCTCCCTCCTGACAGGGGGGGACTGCGCAACCACTGGCGCAACTTTATTTGGGATTCGATCCGCCCCCATGATTGCTTCCAAAGTGTGTGACGACCCGACCCGCAAAAGTGC